TTAAACTTCGTAGTTTGTTTGTGTTCACTGCGAATGTCTCAAAAATGCGGAGCTATTGAAACAATTGAACAATACATTGAGCAATCTTCTCGAAAACAGAATGCAAATGAAAGATCTTCACAAATAATACTCAACAAAACTATTTACTGCGTAAACAGTCAAAAGTGCTTTTTCGAGTGCTTCCAAGCGTTGCATCTTGAAAAACTTACAATCTTGTGTTCATTATTTTTCCCCGATATTGTCTTTCATGCCAAACATATGGCTATTTTCTAGTGTTTACGTTGCAAATTATCCTTCATCCTTCAAGTTGTTGAGATTTATCGAATAAAATCAATTTGTTGATCAATTTTGCAACATTTTTCATGGTTCATCAGAAAAAGCAGCAAAATGTTATTGATCCTCTTGGACACAACGATTGATTATCATTTTTAAGATGTATATTTGGTGAGTGCAGCCATCCTTTGTCAAAACAGTTGACTAATTGAGCTAGATATATATGAACATGTTTGACGATTGATTTGCTCACAACAAATTCAAAGTGTGAAGTAATTTCAGCACTGGGCTAATGCACAGTCACGACTGTCGTTGAACGAAGCATTCATGTACGATACCACTCCAGCAACACATCCCGTTCCACTGCCGCAGTTCATGCCAATATCTCATCCAAGTCCGAAACAGCTCAAGAAATGGCACAAAAAACACAAAAAATTACTCAAGAAGATGTCTTCAATGCCTCCACCGATCCTCACACCTCATCTACCGCCGAATCTGCAGCCTTACTCAAGAGCATACTCGATGGACAATCTTAACAGGTTACTTACTGCCTCACCGATTCATTTTCCATGACTTCTGCCGTATAACATTCCAAATCTGATTTGATCATTGTGCACTCGAACCTCAATTGTTTTGCTCAGATTCTTAATTATTGGGACATCTTTAAACATTCATCAATGAATTACTGACAAAGTATGTCAGAGTATGTGTGATTTTGAGAGTACAATACAGCTGAAGGTTAATAACCGGTGTAATATCCCAAGACTGATATTGGTACGTCGATCTGACTGAATTTGATTCAGCCTAACATCAAGAAATTCTTGACTTGTTTGCTTTATATCGTTAGAACCAGTTTCTTGAATGATTCGTTTACATTAATCGAAAACCAACCATTCATCGTCTGAAGATGGCACCAATGACAGTAAAACAAAACAAACTTCATAAACAATAGCCATCGAATGATTGCTCCTATAAGACATAATACATCTAAAATTTTTCTCCGAATGTCACAAAAACTTTTGAACTTCGCTCTATTGAATGAAATTCCTTCAAGAAAAAAAAAACAGAAAAAGAAACCATACAATCAAAATCTTTATTATGCTCAATCGAGATACAATGTTAACCAGTTTGCTAGAAAAATAATGCCAAGACATGTTTGCAGTGATAAAAACTTAGGAATGCTACACAAAGGAAAACAAACAATAAATGGAGAATGCAAAGCGATATCTGA